TACACCTTGTGACTCAGTGGCATTATCGCCTTGTCTGGGACAAAATGATAACAATAACTAAGTTATTTAAGTCCGGGGAGAAGACACATTCTTGTCTTACACCTATTTCTATTTTGGTATATTTATTGAATTCATTTTTTATCAGGAGGTAGGAGGTTTTCTCCTCCTGGTACACGTTCTGGATTATTCTAATATAGTTCGTAAATATAGCAAAATCACCTAGCAGTTATTTCTTTTTTGTGACATATTTTATCAAATGATTTTGCATAATGTATAAAACGTAGGTATTCATCCTTTTGAAACTGTATTTCCCTTTAAAGATGTTTCTGTCTAAAAAAGGAAAACTTCTATCTCGTTTCTACATTTTTCCATTATTTTATATCTGATATATCGTTTCATACTAATTTTTTCTCTTGTTGCATTTCCTATGCAAAGGAGAAAATTAATTTATACACTTATGATTTGATGACATTTGCCTTGCTTCTGACAAACAATTAGATAAAATTTTACAAACGTCACACAACAAACTTTCTTTCATATCAACATAGCAAATGCTGCTAATTCGATGATCACATTTCAACATTGTTAAAGGGACTGGCAAATTACACCAGATGACATTTCCCATTATGTACTATTTCTCTTTGCGTTTTTTTAACATTCATTTTCCTTCTCTTTTGTGAGTTAAAGTTTAGGTTTGTTGCTGAAAACAAAAAGGAAAATTGCACCATAAAAAAACGACGTTCTGATATCTCGAGTAGCACACCACACTTTCCCAATACTTTGTTGTTCAAGTAAATACAAAAGCCAGCAAAACGAAAATGAAAAAGAGAAAGACAAACTTAACGGAGACCTTTTAAAATAAATGCTGTTGATAGAGTATAAGAAAAAAAATAAGAAAACAACTGACTATCCAGTCGGTTACGTGACTTGAAAGCTGGTATAAAAGTGACACGTTGATTTTCTTAATTAAAATCGTTTTGTTTTATATATTTGTATATATTTGTTTTAATTTTATTTTATCTTATTCATTTATTTTGGTCTTTGTCTGCCTAATGAGCTCTTGCTCAGGTGAGAAAAGAGACATGTATGATAGATTTCAAGCTTGATTAATCACAACTCACCTTATAAACTTCCAGTCTGTTGTCCAGACACATTATAGTTGTATATTTTTTGTTCATTTTCTCCTCATTTCATTGTCATTCTTATTGACTTTGTTTGCTGTCTAAGGCATTAATTTCAACCAGCAGTTGAGGCCGCTAACGGCACTTCCTCTTCCGGTCACTTACCATTATTTATCGCCAACCGTTGTGAATAAAGACACTTATCATGCATGGACGCATTTAGATACACAGGAACACATTATAAAAACAGACACTAAAAAAATACATCCTATATGGCAAGATTTATGAGAATATATATATATATATATATATATATATATATATACCAGATCATATGTGTGGAAAGAAACAAATTATACATACATACATAATAGCTGGCCACTCGTATTTGAGGATACCCATCTACTAGGGCCTCTAGCCAATCCTTAATTCAGACGCTCGCTCAGGCACATTTGTGTTTGTTCAACACCCACAGAGTCCGCCTGTGGTTTATACTGCAATTATGCTGAGCAGACCTTAGTTACAGTTTCTGGGAGATAGGGTGTTATCTAACATGATGAAGAATCTGAACAAGGCCTGCAGACTCAAAACCTCGGTCACGATGACTTGTGACTTCGTGCTGGCATACCTATTGACAGTTCCCCAAGTCTTCCGTCTACCAAATTTTAATCACAAGTCTTGGACCAATCCGTGGTATGGTTTTCAGGCACTAAATATACATACATACAAACATATGCATATATGAATGATCTAACTTACATATATATTTAAAGAATTTTAAATAAATTTTAATCTATAAATCAACCATCCGCACTTCCATTGCATTGAATATTTCTGTCATATATGGTCTAGTGTTCCTGCTGTAAGTCTCGAGGTTCTTGGCAAAATCCAGAGACGAATTTGCAAGCTGATAGGTCCTGATCTGGTATCTAGTCTACAATCGCTATCGCACAGACGTGCTGTGGCCTGCCTCTGTCTCATCTACAAATATTTTCACGGTTACTGTACCGACGAACTAATTTCGCTGGTTCCCAGACTATATGAATTTAAACGAGCTACCAGACTGGCATCTCGGTCCCACCCTTTCACTGTCAAAACGGTTAAATGTAATCGTCTCTTCTCCACAAGCAGATTCTTATCCAGCACTTCCAGTCAGTGGAATTACCTTCCCCTTATTTGCTTCCCCAATAAATCTATAATATAATCTTCAAATATTCAAGTGTAATGTCAATCGACATCTGACACCCTGAGCTTGTTCCACGTCCTTCTCTGTATCCTTTTCTCAAACTCGCCTCTTTACTTTTGTTCTCAATCCTCTGTAACCCCAAGCGTGCTAGTGGCACTTTTGCCCTGCATGGGATGAATTGCCTTAAAAAATACACAGAAATATATTATTCTTTATTGGTTTACCCATTGATAGAATGTTCCACGCTTAGCAATTTTTCAAAATGGTTGCCTGTTTATTTTGAACGCTTTTTCAAAAATATGTAAATGTCTATATATTTTGGACATCTGAAAATAGAAATATACATGCAAAGAAATATACATCAAGTAATAAAAATATTTGCATGCAAGTTAGAAACAAACAATCGTCTCCCAGTTTCTTATATAAGTAAAAATCAACAAAAATAAAATATGAATGATATATAACTTATATATTATACATTTTTATTGTTTTTCTCTTGCCGAAACTGAATCACATAGAACACTTTGGCACTCTATAAAATTTGGTTTTGTGTCAGACTAATCTAACTTCAGTAAATATCTATGTATTATAGAGAGTAGATTTCAACTAGTTATTTTATTTGAGATTTGTTTATAAGGAGGAATGGCAAATATAAAATGTGCTAAGCGCAATCAAAATTATACGGCACGTCCTAATTTCTATATTTTATTAAAAAAAAATTCTGTTCGATATTAATTTGCTAAACTCTCTTTGAGATTCGGAGATGAATCATTATCACTCATCTATAAACTTGTATTCCCATTCTTGTCAATTTTATTGCTACAGTTTGGCATTTGCCTCCTTCTGACTTCCAAGGAAATTAACGTTTCTCTAATATTTTATCTTTATTTATGTCTTTTCCAATTCCATATCGTCTGTAAAGACTTCTTTTTTTCTGTGATGTTAATTGTCAAGATGTTCAGATTAACAATCTAGTCTTTCTTGTTTTTGACTACTGAAAAAAGAACACAGTCTAAAGATAACGATTAGCATAAGAGAGATGAGTAGTTTAATCTGGGCAGTTTGTGAATTATTTGTATAATATGCCAAATGTATTTGGATCATTTTTGTTTGTAATATCATGAATGAAAGACAACATATGAATGAGATATCTCTCTTGCAACGAAGCGCAGTGCCATTTTTATTACAAGATGGCGGATTGTTATAAGTTGTTTACAAAACGAAAACATGAAAAGACCAAATCCATGAAAGGAAAAATTCAATAATACTAACTGGAAAATATATCATAAAATCTCATATATGAAAACCTAATGTCTTAACAACATATGACGCCATTTTGTTTTACAGTATATAAATAAATTAGAAGTATTACGATTGGATTGGGTATTAATTAGAGGATTAGTTTCTTTTCTGTTGTTACTAAGTTATGAAACGATCTTTCAGGAATTTTATATACTTATATAATAATTAGAAAAATATGTTTAAAGTACATAAGAAAGCTTAATAATAAAAAAACGTTTTAATATAATTTTATGTGATTTTAGCACACTGGGTAAACTAGGATCTATATAAGATTCTAGAGAACATAAACTGAGGGACCGTTTTTCTATGTTATTAAGTAACAAACTGATCCCCCCAAAATAGTGCATAGTAGCAATTAGAAACAGGAATTATCTTGAAAACTACGAAGCCTAGCTCAATCAAATTGAACACTATATGTACTGAAAATCATAACTTTATTCAGGGACCGATTTTCCGGTTATCTAGTGCGAAAGTGATTCCCTGTTTGAGTTCATCAATGCTAGCAGAAAGAGGAGGGACATAGACGCTGTATTGAAGGCACGCTGCACAGTCGTGATTGACTGTGTTCGAGCATATTCCAAGATCTAGAATGACTTCTCTTTAGGAGTGAACGGCATCGCTCAACTTAAAAACAGAACAAAAATAAAATATTAAATATAAAATCTTGATCTGTTCCTATATATTCTGTGAAAATCTGAGATAATTTCAACAAGGATTGCCAAAATTGGCCTGCGAAATGATGTCTGTATTTTAAAACTCGTACATGAAAATCTAATAACAACAGTGTACAGTGCGTAAAGATGAATAAACCATTAGATTAATAAAATGAAAACTTAAAGTTATCGAAAATGTGAGCAACGAGACAATGGAAAGAAAAAGGACACTTCTATTTAACATCAAAAAGAGACAGTTGAAATTTATAGGGTACATAATGAGGAAAGAGGACTTGGAAAATTTGATACTCACATGGCAGTTTCAAGGTAAATGAGAAAGAGGAACGCAATGCATAACTTACTTGTTAGATCGATGACGGAGCAGAGTTTGAGAAAGATGGAGAAGAAATTATAAAGAGTTAGAAAAGGCAAGAAATTGTGGATAGCCATGACCGCCAACGTCCTGAAGAGACACGAGACACAGACGTAGATTAAGCACCTTGCATGCTTAGCTTTTTGAAATAATTTGTCACCCAATACAAGACCTAAGAGGCACTCAAGGTAGGGACGTACTGAATAAAATTGTTGTATAAATTCAGCGGGTGGAGGTGGATAAACCAGTTAATACTAATCTCAGAAATGCATATTCCATTTCTAAATATTTTGTTTCTTACGCCAGTTTCCTTCTTCTAATCTCGAAAATAAAGGATCAAGTCTGGAAGTTCGGTTTTGGAAGGCATGTTTCCAAATATTATGCTAGGGAGACCTCAGTCAAAAACAGTAAGATTTCAATTTCAAGTTCAGTGATGAATATTGTCTCAAACTAGACGCTGTTGCGTGTAGATTTACCGGAAGAAACAATAATGGAGAATGACATGCGCAGTGAACGTCGGTGTCACTGACTGATGACCGGTAGAGACAGCACATCGCATTGTTTCATATACATCTGGCAGGTTCAATGACTTTCGACATCTTGACATCTTTTGTGCCGATGAACCATGTCAGAGTGCGTTTGAGTTAATTCTAGTGCTGCCGTTGCAACTGTAGATGAAGTAGCTTTGGTTGTTATTGTTATAAAGTTGCACAAGATTCTCTGGATGGTTTTACTTTGTTTGTGTTGGCGGTCTTACTATTTGTAAAGAGCATTTGGTCTGAACGCTTTTGCATCTGACTGAACAAATCTATACATTCTTTTATTTATCAATATTTCCCTTCAACAGGTCTCTTGCCTCTTCACGTTTATTTATTCCCAACACTGTGACAGGTGACAGTGCTCACATCATATCTATCTATCTATCTATCTATCTATCTATCTATCTATCTATCTATCTATCTTTGTTTATTAAAGAAATATCTCAGTCAGTTCATATCTATCTATCTCTTTCTTGTTTCATTCTTTATATTCTTTTCTACCATTTTCTTTTTTTCTTTCCTTCCTTCTTTTTCAATTGGTCCATATCTATCTATCTATCTATCTATCTATCTATCTATCTATCTATCTCAGCCTGTCCATATCTATCTATCTAGCGATCAGAATCTGCTCATATTTATCTATATATTTATCTTTCTATCTGTCCAATATCTATCTATCTATCTATCTATCTATCTATCTATCTATCTATCTATCTCATCTCCTGTTCGTTCATCTATCTATCTATCTATCTATCTATCTATCTATCTATCTATCTATCTATCTCAGCCTGTTCATATCTATCTATCTATCTATCTATCTATCTATCTATCTATCTATCTATCTATCTCAGCCTGTCCAATATCTACCAATCTATCTATCTATCTATCTATCTATCTATCTATCTATCTATCTATCTATCTCAGCCTGTTCATATCTATCTATCTATTGATCTGAATCTACTCACATTTATCTATTTATCTATAAATCTATCTTTCTATCTATCCAAATTCTACCAATCTACCTGTCTGTCTGTCTGTCTATCTATCTATCTCCTACTCGTTTCATGTTTTATTTTATTTTCTATCTATTTCTATCTATCTTTCCTTCTTTTTCCGTTTGTTCATCTCTATCTGTTTATCTCAGCCTGTTTATATCTATCTAACTATCTAGCGATCTCAATCTGCTCAAATTTATCTATATATCTATCTATCTATCTTTCTATCTGTCCAATATCTACCAATCTATCTATCTATCTATCTATCTATCTATCTATCTATCTCATTATTGTTTCATTCTTGATTTTGTTTTCAATCTTTTTCTTTCTTTCTTTCTTTCTTTCTTTCTTTTTCAGTCTGTTCATATCTATCTATCTATCTATCTATCTATCTATCTATCTATCATACTCTGTTCATATCTAACTATCTAGCGATCTCAATTTGCTCATATTTATCTATTTATCTATGTATCTATCTTTCTATCTATCGTATACCTATCTATCTATCCATCTATCTATCTCTCTCTCTCTATCTATCTATCTATCTATCTATCTATATATATATATATATATATATATATATATATATATATATATATACATATGTGTGTATATATATATATATATATATATATATATATATATATATATATATCACCTAATACCTATATACAGCTGTTAATATCTATCTATCTCAGCCTGTTCATTTTTATTTATCTATCTATTTTATCGGCCTCTTGTTTTTAGTATCATTTGTCATTTGTTTACATTTTTACAAAATAATTCTGATATTTCTTCATTAATCAAGGGATTGGGCAGTGATTCTTGTCGAGAACATTTTAACACTCACTCTGACACTGACACACACGGATATATATACATATATATATATATATATATGAGCAATACTGACAAAATAATATAGCGGCAACATGGGTACAGCATGTGTATACTCAGAGGCATGGTCTGTACAATAATATCTGCAATACCATTCAGTAACACTAATACCATTGCGTCATCTATATCTGAGCTTTAGAGGCAGGCTGTTGCAAGAGGCCAATGCAAGCAGGTGTTAGGCCACGGAAACGCAAATATGCACCTTTTGTTCAATTCTGAACATACTTGATTTTTGATTTACCAATAAGTGGTCCTGAAACCAGATTTACACATACCCAACAACAGCATGTGCTTTTCGAAAGAGTCATCTGGTGTATCGAGCGGGATGCGCTCAAGGATTAAATATTAATCGTATTAACAAATAATGTATGTTCTTCAGCTTGTAAAATGCATGCTAGGAGTTCATTAATTAAGAAGATACAGAAATTATATTACATGTAGATTGTAATAAGAGAAGGAAAAATGACAGCTTTTCAATATAGGAATAATGAAAAGACGTTTTGAATAAACTAAGCAATAGGAAAAACGAAAGACGACTTCGAGAAACTATCCAATAAGAATAACGGCATAAGTCTTCGTGAAACTAAGCACTAAGAATAACTAAATACGCCTTAGTGAAACTATTCAATAAGAATAAAGAAATATGTCTTCGAGAATCTAAGCAATAGAAATAACAAAACGTTTTTTTCCAGAAACCAAGCAATATGCTTAACGAAAGGAGTCTACGAGGAACTACGCAATGAAAATAATGAGAAACATCTTTGTGAAGCTAAGAAATAGGAATAACGAAAGACGCCTTGGTGAATCTAAGCAATTGGCATAATAAAAGACGTCTTCAGGAATCTAAGCAATAGGTATTACGAAAGACGACTGAGAGAAACTAAGCAATAGAAATAACGAAAGACTTCGTGAATCTATGCTATAGGAATAAAGAAAGACGTCTTCAAGAATGTATCAACTGGAAAAACGAAAGACGTTTTCGTGAATCTAAACAATAGGAATAACGAATTGCGTTTTCGAGAAATTAAAATATACGAATGACGTAAGACGTGTTCGTGAAACTAAGCAATAAGAATAATGAAAGAAGTCTTCTGGAAACTAAGTAATAGGAATGATGAAAGAGGTCTTCGAGAAACTAAGCAATAAGAATGATAAAAGACGTCTTCGGTAAAATAATTAATAGTAATATCCATGGATTTCTTCGAGAAACTAAGCCAAGTACTAAAACATATATTTTTTTTTAGAAATAAGCCCCAAAAATGAATTCTCAACTGCTGCATAATATTTATATATCAGTGTTTTTTTAATAATTTCGCCTCATTCAAGTAGTAATGCCACTCAAATGCATGGCTTTCTGACAGTAAAAGTAAAAAAGATAAATGTTAGTCAGAAGAAAAAACAATAAAATAACAGCTTCCTAAGACACAGAAGATGCCGAAAGGATTTGCATTTAAATTTTGGAAGATATTAGTTGACACGGAAGCAATAGACAGATATTGGCTTGGTATTGAACTCCCAACACTTTGGGTCTAGTCACTGGATCTAATTAACGTCTTTATCCATTGGGCCATGTGTCCAAAAAGCTGTGAGTTCAATACCAGGCTACAGCAATGGTGAACCAAAACAGTTGAGTTAAAGGGAAATAACTGAGAAATCCGGAAGAGGCATGGCACGTGGAACTAAAACAATCTACCCCGGTGGACGAAATAAAGGGTTCGGCTCGAAATTCCAATCACCTGAAGAAGGCCGAACTATACAACGACTGAAACATTGTGAATATGGCATTGGAATTATCGTTCATCTTCGTTCACGTGCCATAGATTAGTGAGTATTAAAGGCAGCTCGCAGATGATTATTTGTGGAATGAGATTCATGGCATTCCAGTTTATAAATCAAGAATAAAAAAAACAGAAATAATACTAAGACGGATAAAAGCTAGCAGTCATCTAATATATAAAGATCAAAATATTGACGGAAGGTTCCACTTTAAATGAAGAAAATTAAATAAACATATGTTAATTGTTTTTTTTCTTTTATTCATTCAAAATCAGGAGATAGCTATATATAGGCAATTGTTTTCTTGAGTTATTTTATAATTATTTATTTGTTCAAATAAAGTCACATTCACGCCTGAAATGCGTAACTAACTGAGCATTTCAATCACAACTTGGAGTAAATGGATGCAAGGCGTACTGAATTTTTAATGGTATAAAAATCTAAGAAACATTATAAATTAACGTGACATAATATAGAAAGAAATAAACAACTAAACCAGTTGAAGCGGTTTAATTATACCCAATTCATGAATACCATTTCAAGTCAAATAAAGAAACAGTTTCGTAGCGCATCGGAATAGTGAAAATAACTTAGCCCTCCCAATGTCGAAGACCCTTGCTAGTATATAATAATGGAAAGTTTTTTTTGTTTTTTTTTCTGTATGTTTACTCGTATTTTTAAACATATATTTTATCAAGCAGATATTGAAATTAAAAAAGTGAATTTCGGCAGGGTTCGAACGCTCGACCTTAAGGTAATCAGAAAAAATAACAGATCCATTACCCCAGTCTTCTGCGGTTTGAGCAGTCTGGTAAAATGACTAAATTCAGACAGAGAATATAGAGACTATATGTATCCTTGGCTGAGGGTAGGTTAATGGAAGAGCGATCACAGAAGGACCAATATTTATATAAATCATCCTGTCATTTTTTACGGGTATTATGTGAGTAAAATAAAAAAAAAACTATCAGATTGCTTTTATTTTTATTAATACACGTCTGCCAGTAGACATTCGTTCACACCTGAATTGGCAGGGATTTGTGCTGAGATGTTGTTTTTACAAGTGCGCACATATCGCCACTCGATCTGGGTTGAAACGAAAGCACTAGCGCATACTTAATGCACTTGCGTGACGATGGGTGCGCAGCGGAAAAAACACCGGCGCGCATTCGTTGCATTCTAAGATGAAAAGAGAAGAAAAAGGCGACACGAAAAAAGACAGGTTCCACGACAAAATGGGGACGAGAATGCGCGCTGTGTTCACAGCAAACAACATTTACTGAAACTTAATTGCTTTAAATGACGTGTCATTTCACCGAATTATTTTATTTCACTTCAGATCCGCTGTTTCGATATTACTTATTTAGTTTAATAATTTTCCATATCAGTAACTGCCGATCTCTTCATATGTATTTGTTTATAGTTCTTTACTAGATAATGTGTATACCTATTTAAGTAGCCATATATATTGCTCAAATATATATTTACGTACAATTATGCATAAACATACCTACCTATGTATCTATCTATGTATATATATGTATATATATATGTATGTACACACACACACACACACACATATATATATATATATATATATATAATAAAAAGGCTTAAACACTAATATTCCATGGTCATAATTTATTCCATTGGAATCGTAAATACGATCAAATCATCAGACCTACAAATTCAAAATTGAATTTGTAGGTCTGATGATTTGATCGTTTTACGATTCCAATGGAATAAATTATGACCATGGAATATTAGTGTTTAAGCCTTTTTATTATATCCTTACTCTGTCCTAGACATTGAGTTCTACCTGGATCCTTCCTCTTGGAAAAAATTTTTCTGAAAATATACATGTATGGAAATTTTTTAGATATATTTTTCATATGTATGTATATTTTCCACTAATATTATCTATCTATCTATATATATATATATATATATATATATATATATATATATATACAATATGAGATTGGTGTATACGGAATAAATTCGATAAAGAAAAAATATTATTCTTAAAAGAGTGCTCAATAAAGAGTCGAGAAAATATAATTTATTCGAAAGTTATAACATAAATATGTTATAAAATCATTACAAAAATAGCCATTTTGTTTCAACACTTCTGGTGTCTTATCAAGAGATGGTTTTGAATATAGAATAAAGAGTTTTAAAAGGTTCAAATCAATCAAACACCCCCTCGCCAAGGGAAACGCTGTTACATAAGCTGGAATGACCAATCAAAATACAAGTATATGAGAATTCAAAAAACTTGACATCGAACCTTGGTTAGGTTGATATATTTATATTTATTTCTATGTGTGTGTATACATGCATATGCGTATATGTGTAGGCATATGTGTATGTATGTATATGTGTGTATATAGGTGTATATATATATATATATATATATATATATATATATATATATATGTGTGTGTGTGTGTGTGTGTGTGTGTGTATGTGCGTAGGTATATTTATGTTTGTTTCTCTTTCTAGTGATGAATCTGTGTTCACATACGCATATATGCATTTTTTTACATATTGTTGAATATTTGTACTCGTGTATCTGTACTCATGCATATATAAGTATATATGAGATATATGTATATATTTGTGTGTTCATGAGTTTTCTTTTTCATATATTAGTTTTATTTTAAGTCGTACATTTTACCAGGGCATTTGAATTTGGTGTTTCTTTATGTATGTGTATACGTATATATTTATTTTTCTATCCATTTCAATATATTTTA